TGAGTGCCCTGGATATGACAGGGCCAAGTGCTCGATGGATGAAAACAGTGACCACTACTGCATGGAATTTTTATTTTTAATTTTTCTAAAGCTAGGCCACTTGAAATGAAACCTGGCTCCCTGAGAAATGTGCCACATCCAGCAGACAGTGGGCTTTAGTGTTTTATTACTATTTGTTTTTACCACAGTACTTTTACAGCATAATCTTCTTTTCATTTTTCAACCAAAGATTATGCTGTCCTCATCTTTCCTTAAAGTAAAAGGGTATATCATATGAAAGTAACTTAACCTCTGAAGCCTCAGAGTCCAGATATGGTGGCAAACTTTGGAAGTTCAGTTAAGCAAAAAATACATGTGCCTTTATTTTTTAAAAAAAATCCAGCACTAGCTTTTAATTATCTACTCTTCAAAATAATTTACCTTAGGATTCTCTTGTAAGCAAGCTCCAATGTAAATCCTTAAAATCTGAGGGGGTGAATAACTTTCTGGGAATGCAGTTATTATGAAGTTATTGTGCAGTTATTGCAAAGTACCTTGAAAACAGTCTCTAGATACCTCTTTCTTGCCACATGTGGGCAGTCAAAAAATATTTGTGAAATGAATTAAGGATTCAGATTTGAGGATCCATTTGGGGGGAATAAACACAAGTGCATGAGAACAGGTAAAATATTTAGCTTGGCTATGTGACAGTCTAGTGCATGCTAATCGATCTGTGACACTGCGTTGGAGCGTCCTCGTGCATTCGCATTTGCTGAGTGCCAGGCAGTGTGCCAGGAGGGAGGGGCCGATGAGGGAGACTGTCTTTTCCTTTGAAGGAGCTGAGCTTGCTTTCTGGTGGAGCTGACAATTTTTTTCAATAGTCATTGCTTTCACAGCAAAAGTAGGTAGCTTTGGTGTAGGGGGAAAAGGGGTAATTATATATGCTACTGCAGGTCTTAGGTTTGTTGGTGGAAACATGAAATTTATACTAATACCTACATTTATTGAGTGCTCAGAATGGGCAGAAACTTCTCTAACCACCTGATTTGTAGAAAGTCATTCAGTCTTTACAAGAATCCCGTGAAGCAAGTTGTTATGGCCTGAATATTTGTGTACCCTCGAAAATCGTACTTTGAAGCCCTAACCCCCAAGTGTGGAGGTATTTGGAGATGGGGCCTCGGAATAAGTAATTATGGTTAAATAAGGTCATAAGAGTGGGGCCCTGCTCCAATAGGATTAGTGTCCTTATAAGAAGAGACACCAGAGAGCTTGCTCTCTCTCCACCACATGAGGTCACAGAGAAGGTGACCACACGAAAGCCAGGAAGAGACCCCTCACCAGAAAGTGATTCCTGCCAGACCCTGATCTGGACTTTATAGCTGCCAGAGCTGTAAGAAAATAAATGTCTATTGCTTAAGCCTCCCAGCCTGTGGTGTTTCCTTATAGCAGCCTGAGCTGGTGGATACGTAGGTACCATTATGTCCCCACTTTCCTGAGAAAGGTTGGTGACAGGAGAGGCTCAGCACCCTCCCCCAGGCCGGGCAGGTGGCGCTGAGCCAGCCTACCTGCCCTCCCGTGCTGGCTCCCAGCAGAGATGTAATTGAAAGAAAAAAACTGGTTTCTGTATTTTTAGCACATAAAATACTGCTCTGTAAGTTTTTCCGCTTTACATAATGGTCCCATAGCATCTCCCCACTTGTCTTGTCACTTCACTTATTATATCCTTTGTCATACAGAAAATTTTACATTTTAATATCGTCAAATTTTCTGATCCTTTTCTTACTGTGTCGGGCTTTTAGTGTCTTTGAAACATTCTTAACAAAACAAATGTCTTAGATATTTTCTCTTATATTTTCTTCTAAGACCTTTAAAGCTTTGTCACGTTTGGGTGTTTATCTGATATTCATTGTTGGATGTTTTACAAAAGAGGGACTCTTTCTTGGGTCCACGTGGATAAGCAAACGTCTCAGCTGGCTTCACTGGAAAGCGCATGCATTTCCCACTCATGACGTATCTTTCCGCTTCCGCCTGAAGTCAGCATCTGGCCTGTTTTAACCTGCTGCTCCATTCCTTTCTCCCTAGCAGTCTGTGGCACCTGTCATTTTCCCTTTTCCTATAGTCCTTTTTCAGTTTTGATATCAAGGTTATACTGGCCTCTTAAAATGAAATGGTGTTTACTGATAATTTATAAGCAAGTGCAGCAAGCAATAGGAGGAGCTGTAGCAGGTAATGTTTTTTGGAGTGCACACAGTACTTCAAAAACTTGTTATAATATTTGAATTATCCATTCCTTGAATATTTACTATCTGTAAATACATGTGGGTCTCGTGCATTTCCATGGGTCAACTTTTAGCCATAATTCAATTTTTTTTTTTTAAAGACATGATCTCACTCTTTCTCACCAGGTAGAGTGCAGCAGTGTCATTATAGCTCACTGCAAGCTCAAACTCCTGGGCTCCAGTGATCCTCCTGCCTCAGCCTCCCGAGTACCTTGGACTACAGGTAAGCACCACTGTGCCCGGCGAATTTTTCTATTTTTTGTAGAGATGAGGTCTCACTCTTGCTCAGGCTAGTCTTGAACTCCTGGCATCAAGTGAACCTCCCAACTTGGCCTCCCAAAGTGCTAGGATTATAGGAGTGAGCCACTACTACACCTGGTCAATTTTTAAATAATTATCGTCTAGTCAGAATTTCTGTTTCTTTTTGAGTCAGTTTTGGAAAATCATATTTTTCTAGAAATAACCTATTCCATCAAACTTATTGTTGTTCATAGTATTCTACTGTGATAAAAATACCTATTCTATTCCTGACATTCATTATGTGGGTTTTCTTCCTTTGTTTCTGATCTATTTTCAGAGGTTTGTGTTTCATTTACCTTTCACAAAACCAACTTTTTATTTTGTTGACCTTTTTTATTGTTTCTGTGCTTTTTATTTAATAAATTTCTACTCGTGTTTATTATTTTCTTTTTTCCTTTTTTGGTTTTACTCAGTTCTTCGTCTGTCTTCTTGAATTAGGTGCTTAGTTGGTCTTTCTTTTCTAATAACAACATTTAAAAACATGTATTTCCTTTTTGGTACCACTTTATTTACATTTGATGAGTTTAATACTAGATGAAACTTTAGAAATCACAATTGTAAGTATTTCCAGATTTTATTAGGTGTTTCCCTTTGGTCGTGAGTTAGCAGAAGTGCCGTTCCACCCAGACCCTCAGTGAAGGTGGCTTAACTTCCTGGTCATCTCCCTGTGCTGGCGGTGCTCCTCTTCCTTCTCCCTCATTCCCTCTCTCTCCACTTCCCCAGTCTGCCCTCTGAATGGCTACGCTTTGTGGATTTTGGTTTTATGTGGTAGTCTCCATTCAAATTCTTGGCACTGCATTGCATATGTCTAAGATGTTATGCCTTGTCCTTGGTGGGCTTAAAACCCAAGGTCCCAGATCACGAAGAATAAAGCTGCCCCGCCCCCCACCAAGACTCACACAGACCGCCCTGCCCAGCCTCCTGAGGACAGGTGTGAGGTCCTCTCTCTCTAGGATCTCCAGGCCTCATTTTATATCTAGTCTCCAGTAGTTTACTTTTTGAGGGCTAAGCTAAACATTTTTAATGTATATATTTATATATACATGTGATATATAAATGCATTAAAATAAATATTTATATTTTAATCTAGAATTTCTAGATGTTCGTAGGAAAGCTTTCAGATTAATCTAGCATCTTTGCTAGAATTATATGTATCTCCCACTTACTGAATGTTCTCATTATGAGAGAACTGCAATATCTGTCTTCTTCCTGGTTTGTGCCTCCTGAAACCTTCTGAGAATCTTAAGAGAGAACCCCTTATGGCTTATGCCCCAATATTTCAACTCTAGGCTAACCTCTAGGCTGCCTTTGCTGAGGGTAAATCTCATGATGCCAACTTCTCTAAAGTTGAGCATACCATGGCATTCTAAATAAGGCAACTGCACCTTGTGTATTTGCTCATTTTAAATTTCACTTTGGAAGTAATCCTATAGTAGCATACACCTACTGAGAATATGACTACTTACGAGTTTCCTGGTTTAATAATGTTCCAGCATCATCATCATCCTCATAATATATATATGTATAGTTATAACATGAGGGAAAGCATATATTTTATTGGATTTTTAAAAAATAATAGAGTATGACACCAGATTCCTCCTCCACTAGGGTCTTTGAAATTATTTTCAAGTCAGTCTTTCCCAAATACCTGTTTGTACAGATACAAAACAGATCTTAGCACAGAGTAAATTCTCAGTAAGTATTTGCTGATTAGCCTGTGGACTGCACCACATGAAACTGCTATTACATCAGTTGATACCTGACTGCAATTAAATTAGTACAGTCGGAATAAAGTACGTTTCCAGTTGCACTACGTAGACTTAGGAGGGTCTTATGTTCTTCATTTTCTTTGATATTGAGCCGTTTTGTGATTGTTTTGCAGATAAACAAATACTATAGTATCCTCAAAAACAAAACCAGTACTCATAAACAGTTACTACAGAGAAAGTGAGGCCTTTGGATTAGATTATGATTTCTATTGTACAGGTTAGGAAACTGAGGCACAGGACGGTCACATCTCAGCAAGCAAAGATGCTGGAATTCTAACCTAAGGATTGAATCCAGCGCTAACACACTGTTTTTAGAGCCAATTTTCCTGCGTTAGGGAATGCAGTCATGTCTAATGCAGCACCCATTGAGTTCTGACACCCAACAATCAGCACTCATGCTCAGAGGTATTTTTGTGCACTCAATATAGCCTGATAAGAACTGCTTTTAAATCTTGAGTGCCTTTCCTGTCTGTTGCTATCGCAACAAATGAAAGCAATTCAGGCTATGTTTACTGATAATTTATAAGCAAGTGCAGCAAGCAATAGGAGGAGCTGTAGCAGGTAATGTTTTTTGGAGTGCACACAGTACTTCAAAAACTTGCTGTGTGCCTTACTTTCTCTTCCCAGCTAAGCAAGGAATAAAATGGCCCTTTGTGGTGGCCAGCCCACTTACCCTTCCCACTTCCACGAGGTTGGTCACCATGATGATGCTTGCAGTGTTTTCATGCCACACCATCCTCCAGAAGTCATAGATGGTCTCCTGCATTGGCCCTGCGGCAAACAGAACAGAGACTTTTTTTTCCTTGTAAGTTCCAACCAAAAAATTTCCGGGGCTTGCAAATAAATCTATTAATATCCACACTTTTATAGATGGACATAGCTCTCTGGTGTCAATGCAAAAAGGTACTCTTTCTAAAACTGCACCTATAGAAATACCAGATTTTTCATTCATGGTTGAGTTTTCTCATGTCATCAAACATATCTGCATTTGAGCTCTTTTTACCCCTCTTAAGCTACTACCGTGAAAAAAAGTTATTTCTCCATCATTTAGCTATTTATCTCCATAATACTCAAGAGTGAAATTTTAAAAAATGGATAACATTACTCTTTCTGCTAACAATTGGCAGATATCCCAAGGAAGTGGTATATAGAATGAAATGAGCCTCTACAGGAAAAATGGCCTTTTCTTGTTTCTAATATTTTTCTTATTCTGTGCTATCTGTCAAATTAATCCATTTTTTTTTCTGCCTGACTTTCTATAAGAGAGAGAGAAGTTAAGAGTTTTAAGCAGTTGTTGCACTGCCTCTCACTCAACACAAAGATTCCTGGCAGAACATGAGCAGCCATCTACTTCCTTAGCTCTTGGGATCTGAGCATTGAAAAGCTCTTTCCTATGGATTGGAAAGAAAAAAAAAGGGGGAAATATGTCTTACCAAAGCCCAGTGCTACAGATACTATCAGGTACAGAAAGTTGGAATTTAAAATTTCTTTTAATCCATATTAAAAAAAAACAAACAAACATCTACTTCATGCCCATGCATATTTGAGGGCATAAACGTAACAGTATAAATCTTTATAAGGAGAAAGGCTAAAAAATGAGAGAAATATAACTTCAAAGGCTTGGAGAGTCAGATGCTGTATGTGAAATCATACAAATGTTCAGGCACACTCAGGACCAGAACCGAATTGTACTACAGTATCTTGACATTACAGATTGCTGGATTTGGAGCTCCAATATTTGAATTTGAGATTTGCTTCTGCCTTTTAACTGGCTGTGTGATTTCGGGCAAGTTACTTAGCCACTGTGAGCTTCAGTGTCTTCTTTCTTTACCTATGGATCCCAGGAACACCTCTCAAGGTTATTTTGAGGATTCTTGGAATTAATGGACACTCAGGCATTTTATAAATAGCAAAGCAATAGAAGGAAAACAAGGCACATTTAAAGGTATGTATTAATGGTCATCCTTTTGCTGAGGCCTGGGCACTGAGGAACAGTGGCACACCCAGGGGGCCTTCAGTCACTGTCCATTCCTCTTGATCAATTAGCAATTGGTTCTTTCATAATTTTCTTTTTCTTCCTTCCTGTTGAGACTCCTTCCCTTCCCTCCATAAGTCTGACTTCTATCATTCCTCCCTTGTGGCTTCTGACTACACTCTTACTCTCCCCGTGGGAGGTGACTTGGTTTCCAATCCCTTTAGGGTAGGACCAGGCATGCCACCTCCCATGAAGCGCCACCGGCCATTTCAGCCCATGTCCCTTGGCATGTGCGTGCCATTCTCCTGATGTATAGGCTGAAGATTTCAGTGACTTTAATGTAAGGTTACAGTGGGGACAAGTAAACATCGGATTCCATCAATCACTACAGTTCTGGCTTGCAGAGAGGCACACTCATTGTGTACTTAACAGCTTGTTACTTATTCACAAGGAAAAAAATGTACTGAGTCCATCTTGGTGCAAACAGTCTTCCCAAACAAAGGGGTGACCTTCACTAGGTACACAGGCCTGTGCTACCTTCCCTGAAATGTCCAGAAATATTATAATAACAGTGCTGATGCCAACAGCTACAGTGGATGAGTCAGGGGTTCTAGCATCACCGACAGCATGTGCCTGCAGGAAGAAAAGCCACCTTTACTTTCAGTGGCCAACGGGAGTCTCCAGAGCAACTGGGGGCCCAGTTCTGTGCTTCTAAAGTGCTTCTCACTTATCCTTTCTTAGCAGTGGACACCCTGTGATTGATTAGTTCCCATCCCCCTGGAGGGAGCACAGCCCTCTTGGTTTACTGCTATTTCCTCAGTGCCTCATGCAAGGGCTGGCGCACGGTAGGAGCCCAATGAACGAATGAACGAGTGAGTGAGTGAGTGTGCATGTACGTGTAAGCTGTATTGTTATCAAGATGTTATACTGAACACACGCTGTGTTAAATAACATTAATATGTAATATTTACATGATTCCCTTTCTCAACTTGTACTTCTAAGATTATCTGTAGAAGCCTGAAAACACAGTGGCTTTGCTCCTTTACAATTCATGGAAAGAGGAGCATCTTTGCAAGGCTGTCTTCACGAGGAGTGCGATTATTGCCGTCCTCGGGCACTGCCCGGGAGCACTGGAACGGGACTGCTGCTCCCAACCTCTAAGCAGACCGCCCCCCAGCCTTCGCTGCCCCAAGGCTTTGCTTCCGAACTGAGCTCCGTCCGTCACCCTGGGTGCGATCCTAGCTTCCCAGCAGCTGTTCTCAAAGGAAGGCAGTGGTCCTCAATTCTAACTATATATTAAAATTATGGTGGGGATTTTAAAAAATCCGGATGTCTTAATCCAAGAGACTGATTTAATAGGCCTTGGGTGGGAGTTGGGTCTGGGTGTGTTTTCGAATCTCTCCTGATCTACAGCATGGACAGCATCAGTTCCACCTTCCAACTAACCATCAGGTGGTCTCCTATGGAGTTATAATTGTGAAATGCCAAAGATTTGTCTGTTGATTGTTATAAATCTACTCATTAGTCTACCTCTGTCTCCAAGCTCTGTGAATCAAGGAATCCCATTTTGCTCTGATTTAGAAGAAATTTCACTCATAAAATGTCATCTAGGAATATGGTTGTGCCACCTCACCACGGGAGCTAAGCGCCAGTTAAGGTGGCATGTGTTTTTCAATGTTCACTTAACTAAATCTGCATTATCTTTAAAATAAAGAGTGTTTATAAGCATTAGCGGCTCACTCAGCTGATGACATATACTTTAGTCTTCATGATTTTCTTACCCATTGACCTGCACTAAAAAAGATTAGGATAGAAAAATATATTAGGTGAAGTTCTTTTCAGCACTAAAAGTAGGTACAAGTATCCAGAAGAACTAAAAGAATTTGCTGTTGAAATCTAAAAATGAAATTGAACACGAAGATTATTCTAAGGTGATCTAAGAAAGAAAAAAAAAGTGCAAGCAAAGGCACCCCATCTCCTCCTGCATTTTGCCTGTTCCTTCTTGCCTCTGGCCCCCTGACGTGTGTGGGACTGTGCCACCAAAACCTGGCAGCGGTCTCCTGCGGCCGTACATGTGGCCCTTGCTGGCCTGGTCACTGTGGTAGTTCAGCAATAAAACTGCTCAGGGATGGGCACAGGAGATTCTTGGCTGATGATTCAAGGTATTTTCTTGAATGTTCATTCAAATAATTTTTTTTTGGAGGGTGGAAAATGGAAGAGGAAGGTACCCAAATATTAGACTTTTAATGCAAAATGTGTCAATCTTGTTTTTCTTTCTCTTCCCAAAATCTGAATAAATTATTACTCAGAGATACATGTCTCCTGGCGAAATAAAAAAAGTGTGCTGGAGGACAGGGCAGGGGTGTACTCTACTGTCACCGAGAGCTACTCCATTTGAATTTAGCAGTTCCTGGTGGAGTCTGAGTGGCTGTGACCATCCTGAGCAAATGTCAGGAGTCTATAGACACGTGCCCCGAACACAAAGTGGTTACTCTCAACACCGGCACCCTCGGAGGACTGAAATGCAGTGGGGACACCATGGGAGGCCAGTATCCCTCTGCCTTGACCTCTGACTCCCAGGGTCATGGGAGATCGCTCACAGAATGGACAAACTAAATTCCCAAGACAGGGAACCCAGAACAGCAGGAAAGGACTCTGAAAAACCTCCCTCTCTCGAGGTGTGAACAGGTGCAATGGCAGCCCAGGAATTTGATACCCACAGCTCCCGGCCGGGGGGGGGGGGGGGGGGGGGGGGGAGCCGCTATAATTGCTGGGTCGGTCCATTTACAGGTGTTTGCACAATAGGCAAGAAGGTTATTCTCAGCAGGCGTCCCCCTGTGGGGCTGCGGTGCTTGAAAGGTAAGGTCTAGAAATTTCAATAATATCAGGCCAGTAATACATTCCATTTCCTTCACAATAGCTGGCACACACAGACCTCTGCTGAGAAGGAAATGTGCAGAGGGGCCATTCTTGCCACCGACAAGCCCCAGAGGAATAAAAAATAAGGCAGAAAGAACCAGAGTTCAAAAAATAAAAAATTAAAAGCAGTGACAAGCGTTAAGTGGAAGACATTCGATGATGGGCTCTATTGTGGAAGATGAGTTCATGGGAAGCAAGAGATATTAAAAATTATCATTTTGAACCTTGATAGATGACTTGTACTCCTTCTTTTCACATTCGAATTTCTCTACAGTATGTTTTTTTTATGTTAACGAGAGCTGCTGAGAAGTCAAGGTCCCTTAAGCTCACAGTGGCATATTCAAGTTTTTTGAAGTGAGTAAAGATAGTATAAATATGAATTGGTATTCCATCATAAATAGAGTAATACCTAACATCCTCTGAACACTTATTATTTCCCAGGTCCTGTTTGAAGCAGTTAACACGTATTATGTTATTAAATTGAAAACTCACCATCCTAGGAAATAGGTACTATTGGTCTCCCCCATTTTACTGACAGGAGACTGAGGCACAGAGAAGTCAAGGAAGTTGTCCAAGGTCACACAGCTAGTGCGTTTTGAACAGGAGGTCTGACTCCATCACACCACACTGCCTCATGTGAATGTCAAAAACAACTCAGAAGGGTTCTACTAGACGGGTGTGTGCTGTACAATCCTTGCAATCCCGGCAAGAAGAAAACAGAGGGAAACTCAGGCCAACTACACGGAAACAATCCCTTGAAGAGTGTTTTTGTATCAGGTCACTTCTCTCCTTTAACATTTCCAAGGCCTCCCACTCGTACAGAATAAAATCCAACTTTTCGAGCGCAGCCGACCCCAAGCTTCTCCGCCTGCCCCCC